TAATTAAAATTTATTTAAATCCAAACTTCATTCAAATTAAACACTTTTTTAACCTTAAAAAAATTTAAAACAACAATAAAGATGATTAGCCATTTAATTTTAACAATATATAAATTAATTTCCATTAATTAAAATTAATCCAGTTTTTCCATCATTATCATCATCATCATTTAATGTCTTATTCAAAGTTATAGCTTTCAACACAATTTAAAAAAAAAAGTATACAACAAAACATTATTAAAGCTAATTAAAGATGATGTAAGTTACTTAACAACTTAATTATTTTGATTTAAAAATTAATAATAATGTGGCCATATTGTTTTTTTTTGGAAGTTAAGCGATTGTAATTTTTAAAAATGCAAAAAGATAAATGGTAGAGATGGATGTTAGAACATTTTCCATGTTGGAGGGTCATTGCTAGACCTCGTGATCTTTTCAAGTAATCAATCATTCTTGTCAGAGACAGCGCGATCTTCCAGCCGCTGCCTGCAGTCAAGTGAATCATAATTACTGTCCTGTACAGCACGAAAAGAAAAAAAAAGGAGGAGGAGGAGGGAGGAAAGAAGGAAGGAGAAAAAAATAAATAAAAAGAGAATTCCTTTCGCTTCTGGTTTGTTCATCCGTCGGTGTATAGGAACTCTAAATCCTCCTTCGGCAGTGTTGGATAAAACTTCGTAAAGATAGTTTTTTCTCCCCCCTCCTCATTATTAGTATGGAGCTTAGTCCGGGAGATTTATCAATGTCAGATAACGGACGGATGTTGCTTTTCATTAAGGAGAACTTTCAACCAAAAACTTTACTTTCTCCTCCTCCTCCTTCCTCGTGCGGTTTTCTTGTTAAATTACTAAAATTAGACACTTTTAGATACATTCGGCACGGTTTTCCGCATCGTCTTCTAATTATACACGGGGGAAAAAATCGAGTAAATACAAGTTAGAGAGGAAATTGACCGGAATATCGATAAACGCCACGAGGGGAGGAAACGTCGCTTTTCAAGGTCGTAGTTCATCCGTCAGAGCTTTTATTATTATTATCCCCTTTTAACGCGAAAGTTTAGCGTTTTATTTTTTCCTCGAAAAAAAAAAACGGGTCAAAATCCTTCGATTTAAGATGCACTTCACGATTTCCTCCAGACGGCACTTATCCGAAATGCCGACTCTAATTAGGAGAAAAAAGAAATTCACTTTATAATGCGCATCTTAAAGGCATAATTTTTAATTAGGGAATTTTAATTGCGTTCTTAGAAAATAAAAAAAAAAATGAAATTAATTATCGATTCTGATCGTTTCCCCAACGAAAATCCATTTTGTTCTAACGACGCCGAGTCAGATCCTTCAGCAGTTTTACCTGAAGACAATATTTTTAACGCTTTTTTTAACATTAAAAAAGTAATAATCAGAATTTATTAATTGCTATTAAAAAACGAACCCAATTTGAGTCTTAAAAATCCTTTTATTATTATTATTATTTCTATTACAGTTAAGCTTACTGGTACAAAAAAAAAACAGTTACAGGAAGCATTAAAATTTCTTTTCGATAATTAATGACATTGATGAAACAATTATGTTTTAAGCGTGTTAATATATAAATAAACCGTTTAAAATTTCACTTAAACGGATAAGATCATCATTGTAATTAAAAATGGCGCGTTTAAGAACAAATACCGATGCGCCATTCCCTAATCTAACGTAATAGCATTCATTTTAAGGAAGCGATTTAAAAAGATTTCGGAAAATCCTTCGACTTCACGAAGTTCTTTTAAGGACTTGAAGGGTCCGTGAGTGTTTCTGTGAGTTTCGATAGCCAAAGCTCTCTTCTCTCCAATGAAAGGAAGTGTTTGCAAGTCGGTTTTTGTTCCTTTATTTAAAAACTTTAATATAGCTTTATTTTGTTTCCGTTGAACTTTTTTAAAGTTATTCTTAGTTGGCATCTTACAAGAAAGAAAAGAATTTTCAAAAATAAAAATTGCTGAATCATCTGGATTTTTAACAATTGTTTTCTTTTCCCATAAACGTTGAGATTTTCTTCTTGATACATTTTCACTATTGTTCCATTTAGTTGTATTTGATATGTCTTCTAAAGTTTTATTTAATACTGAAATCTGTTCACTTTCAAGTTTAGGTGAGCATGGTTGTGAAATACTTGCAAGCATATGAGAAGAATTTATATTTTCCAATTCAGTCAATGGATAATTTTCAGTAGCTGAGGACGATTCTAAAATAGTAAAATTCGATTTCTTTGGAATAATAGTATCTTTAACACAACGAGCTCTTAATGCATAACGAAGAGTATTCATTGTTTCTTTCATGCACGTGTCTGCAGAACTAATATATGCTATTAATAATGTAACTGTTTCTTCATTCAGACAATCTTTCAGGACTCGAGTTAATAGCGAATTTCTGTATGGTTTATGAGTTTTTTGATGTTTGTTATTTAAAGAGTTCATTACATGAACCAATGTAAGCAATCCTAAGTTTACTTGAATACCTTCTCTAGATATATTTGGAATTTTACTTTGAGTTATTTCTGATGAAGCCAAGTCCACAAAACAAAGTTTAGATGTACTCTGATTATGATGTATATATACAATAAATATTACATGTGATATATTGGAATGCAAGTAAGTGGTTGTGGAAACAGTATTTCGAATAGTTGCTCCTTTTTCCAACCAACGAAGTGCATCATCTGTACTTGATACATTAATTATGCTCACATCAAGTAACTTTGTTTTATTTGAAAATTCTTGAATTTGAATTTTCTTCTTTCTCTCAGAAAGAAGATCATAAATTTCTTTATTATGAATTTCAATAAATGAAACATCTATGGAAATTTGGACATTTGACATTTCTTTAGCAAAACCAAAAAGATCATTTAAAACATGAAGGATGATTCCTTTATTTTGAATGGCTGAATCAATTCCCATTGTATATGATTCTCCAGTATTTGTTTGACCATATGTCAATATTGTTCCATTACAACCTAAAAATAGAGTAATGTATTTTTAACAACATATACAAACCACCTAATAATTTCATTATTCAAACAAATTGCCAGATTTTTATTGGGGTACATCAGAAGTCGCCAAAGTGGTTGATATGGCTAGAGGGTCAATTAAAAACTGAAACTAAAAGTCATAAATGTAACTACATATTATTATGTTCTTGAATATTGTTTCAATGAATTCAATAGTACAGTTATCTGTCAGTGTGTAAAATGTCTAAGGATCAAGTCGCACAGGACAGATGTAAACTGCCAAATCCGTGCTCCAGTTCTTACTTATATAGTACATGTCAAGCATTCGCAAGCTTGTATCTGATTCGCAGTACACTGACATTATTAGCACCTCTGTAGCCATTTTTAAGCATTGTTCATTTAATTTTAGTATTTCACATATATTTAATAAATGTCAAAAATGTAAAATTAAAAGAAACATATTAAAATAGTAAGAGCTGTTTTTTTTGCTTGTAACACAAAGGTTTTGGTGGGAGTCAATGTAAAGTTTTGAAAAGTTGTAGGTGGTTGACAATAAAAAAAGTTTGGCAATCCGTGGACTACATCATGGCTAATAAACTACAGTAGCTCTTGTTATATCATGCATGCAGAGAGAGAGAGACCAAATGAACAATGTATCAGATGGAATGATATAACAGATGTGCCCATTCATTATTGGCTAAAGAACTTTTATATTTGAAAAAAAAAAATTTGAGATATATCTGAATGAGCAATATAAAGTATGATGTAACAAGGGACAACTGTATTAAGTAATGTGACTAGAAATAGACAGTTACTAAATTTAACATAGTATGACAGTTAAACTGCATATCTGTGCCAAATTACTAATTCCTTAACATTAGCTGTAATGTAGCACGATAAGAATCTAGCAATTCATTTCAATAAGTTATAGGTAAATTTTTAAATTCTGTTAATGCATTCTAATGAATTTTAAAAAACTTTTATAGAACCAATACCTTTTCTCACTTTTTCCAAGAGTGGTTGTACACTTATCCTATATAATTGTTCTTGTGTGCCTCTCTCATCAAACACATAATCAAAACTAAACTTTTTACCAGAAGGTACCAAAATCTGAGATTTTTCAAACAAAACGTTTATACCGGAAGTGGCACCNATTATTTTAAAGTGACTTTTCTTTTAAAAGTTTTTTAAAATTATATACTGTATATATAATTTTAATTTCATTTAGCTAAATTAAATGAAAGAAAATAATAAGTTCATATGTAAACAAATAAGAGAATTAAAATTCTGATTTTTTATTTTGTTTATTTTATGAAGAGTAAATGAACACAGTCAATTAAAATTCCCAATACCTAATACAATGTCAAATATAAATTACTGATTTATTCTTTTAAGATAATTATTTTAATGAAGTTATTATTGAAACTGAAAACTGATTATTCTAACATATCTAATATAGAAGAATTTTTAATTCATATTATTGCATTTTATATCTTAAAGTTTATAAATGTTATATAATGTTTCACATATATTTAGGAATAAAAAAATTTCCAGTTCATATATTACTGTATATGTCCATGGTGGCCAAACTGCAGTGGCCAAAACATGAGCCACAAATGGCTCTTGTAGACCCTTACTGTGGCTCCTGTACAGCCTACTTATATTTCTTCTTATAAACTTAAACTTTATATATATGTAGAGAGAGAATGCAGCTCTTGTATATATCGGGTAAGCAATATATGGCTCCTATTGTGACGAGGTTTGGCTAGCCCTGGTATATGTCAATATTTCCTCATTTTTTCTGAACTGTTATATATTTTTGTTGACCATTTATCAACACCTACTTCCATATAAACTAATATAGCATGTATAATAAATTCAATATCAAAAAAATGTCATGAATGTTATGCTACTATGAACATTTTTTAATGTTACCATGAACAATTTGATAGATGATTATTAGAGTCATCATCTTTTGTTGAAAACATTAAGATCATTATTAAAGTACAATATAGAAAATATTAGTTAAAAAATTTTCCTATTTCTCAGTTTTACATTTCTCTTACTTTACATTCTATTTCATCAGTCCGCAGAAACAATTAAAAGATTAGAGTTTACGGTATATAAAAATAAGGTATGTTTCTTGTTTTTAAATTAACTTTCTTTGGCCGTTTTGATATTTTGTAACTAGAGTCTTTCTATATAGATAACGTTGCTAATTTGTAAGGACAAAAGAAAACTGAACCAAAATCCTCTTGTACTATACAATGCTAACATACACAATGCCTACTGTTATAAAATTCAACTTTTACTGTCGGCATAGATGCAGGTGCTAAGATAACTTGAGAAACTACAATATATAGTGTGGTCTAATGGTCAACAACACAAATTACAGTAGAAAAAGTCATCTAATTATATCATTAGGCATTGTTTCACATTATTTTTGCTTATCCTTCCACAAACAAGCAAATTTTAACTTCATGGATATGAAAAATGTTTGCAAATACCAAAATGTAAATGTGCATAATGCATGAGTACAAAGCTTCTATAATTTAATCATAAATAATATTCTGTTATATGAATATATTTAAAATATTTTGTTAAAAGATGCAAAGTAAATACCTTTGTTTTATTTGAAAATTCTTGAATTTGAATTTTCTTCTTTCTCTCAGAAAGTAGATCATAAATTTCTTTATTATGAATTTCAATAAATGAAACATCTATGGAAATTTGGACATTTGACATTTCTTTAGCAAAACCAAAAAGATCATTTAAAACATGAAGGATGATTCCTTTATTTTGAATGGCTGAATCAATTCCCATTGTATATGATTCTCCAGTATTTGTTTGACCATATGTCAATATTGTTCCATTACAACCTTTTCTCACTTTTTCCAAGAGTGGTTGTACACTTATCCTATATAATTGTTCTTGTGTGCCTCTCTCATCAAACACATAATCAAAACTAAACTTTTTACCAGAAGGTACCAAAATCTGAGATTTTTCAAACAAAACGTTTATACCGGAAGTGGCACCATCTATTATTTCTTCTGGTAAGAGAGGTTGAACCTGAACTGCAACTTTCACTGGATTAGATTCCTCCATAATAAAATCACAAATCTTCACAGTAAAGTTGATTGTATTTTTTTTGGTTTGAGACAAAATTTATTCATATAATTTTCGGCTTATTCTATTTTCTGCAATAGTTTCTTTGAAACTCTTACTTTCAAATTTTTATTCCGATTCAAATTTCAGTTTAAACGTGTTAAAAAAAATGAATATGTTTTTCTTCATTATCTGGAATTAAATCAATTTTCTTCTTATCATATCCAAGTTCTTTTACAAACAAATGTGCATCGTATCCACTTAAGTTGTGTATAAATACAGGAAAAAATGATGGATTTTGATAAATTAACTTACTGTTTTCGTGTGCAGGTCCTGTATATTTTCCAATTAAAGTTAAAAAGTATTTAATTCTAAAAAGATCGTAGTCTAAACTTACTTAAATATCGCTGCAAATGAAGCAAAACTCGATAAAATGCAATAAATATTTACACGAGTAAACAATCGATCCTCTCTCAACAAGAAAATTTTATTGTTGCGTAGCGATTCGAATTAACGTTAAAAACGGCTATTGTTATCCTCCTGTAATACTAGATATATCAGAAATGGATCAATCATTATCTTACTGAAAAGGCAAAAGATAAGGGCACAGGGTTTGCTAATGTACCAGTGTGCTATCAACGTTCTTCGCATTAATGTATTGTATGCAAAAATTGCGTTTGATACATGCTTGATAATGATACGAGAAGAGCAAGGTTTTGTAGCGAGAGTTACACGATTGTTTGGGTAGTAAAGAAAACGTCATTGCAGCTGTTTGCTGTTGTCAGATAGTCAGGTTTCCTGGGCCGTGTTCAGTAACGCAGAACACTTAAGTTAAAATTCTGAGCATCATTAAACGATTATTCTTAGACAACTAAGTAAAATGGTGGACGAAGTTAAAATTATGGTCGAAAAGGATGAAGTAACCAATAAATTATTCAAATGGAAGCTGCGTCAGATCGTGATGAAATTAATAAAGCAATTATTAATTGTAATCAACAAAATGGACCACTATCTGCCGTTAAAATCTATTCAGAATCTGTTACACCGTCATATGATAATGTTACATTTCGAAGTCATTTTAGAATGAGAGAATAACTTTGTGATTCTTATAATAAAATACGTTTACTCCAACGCGAGCAGCCATCTTGCAAATCGTAGGGCAAGACAAAAACAATGACGTCACTAGTAGAAGTTAGCATAGACAAAAGAAGCTGACTGAACTAGCTAGAATTCTAGTGGTGAAAGGAGTCAAGCAGTAGTTAGAAACGAGTTCAACATCACAGCATAACTAGACTTAGCAAGAATTCTGCGTTACTGAACACGGCCCTGGTGATATGTCTGCGGCCTCCAGAGCCTGATCGCACTGTTTGTCTACTCTGACGTCAGCTCAGAACTTCCGTGAAACAGCTATCCTGCTTCCTCAGTCTAATGATAAAACCTTCTCAAAACTATGTTCGGTAGATGTAATGCCTTTGACTGCACTGAACAGGCATGCGTGGCATTACTGACGTTTAAACATCAAGGAAAAGAAAAATGGGTGGTGCGAATTATTTCAATTCCTGAATGAGTAGTGTATAATTGTCCTTAAAATTGACTGACTAATGGTTTCACATATAAAAGTGAAGGTAGTGTAAACCCGTTAATAGTAGGTGACACTGCGAAAACTAACGTGATAACAAATTATGCCGTTGCTTAGTCAGCAACTACTGTATGTGGTGTCCATAGTACTTTTTGTTTCAACTATAAAGTGAACACTAATAAAAAAAAATATGTTCTTCAATACTTTTAAAATGCTTCATTTTTTCAGTTACNTCAATTGTAATGTTCCCAGGCTTTTGTGTAGTGTGTGTGGTATCACACCTGTACACGAGAGAATGACAGGTAAAATAAGCACCCTTTCCATCCTCCAGATGCCTTATTTCCTGGGAGAGTTCTGTGTACTTGCTAATTTCTTCAGTGCATGTGTTTTGCACATTGTGAGAGTTTGGAATGGCTATGTCTGTAATGTATGTGATTTTATTGTGTTTGTCAATGAGTGTGATGTCTGGTCTGTTGAGGTAAATTGTTTTATCTGTAATTATGGCTGTCATAGTATTGTGGTGGTGCCCACCATGTTTGTTTTTTTTTTCCCCTCCTCCCTTCATGGAGGCTTAAATGTGGTGTTTCTTTTATACTAAAATATTATTGTTTATATGTATTATTAGTAACGTTATGTCAATGTAAATATTCGTGTGTTATAATATTTGTCTATTTTATTTTTTAATTTGTAATTTGGGAATGTAACGCAAGGGGGCGCTAGGGGCAACTGATATATAAGGAGTGTAAATGGATCATGGGAGACCTTTGGCTGTTTGAAGACTTTGGCGGGAAGAAGAAAGAAAAGGACCGAGCGAAAAGGGAAGAAGAATAGCAAGATCTTGGATTAAGAACAACTAGTCACATTGTATGTATGTTTCCCCTACGACCCCGTTCTGGCTGTACTCCTAGTGTTAATATATGATTATTTCTGCTCTTAGTGTTGTCTGTTTTCTTTGTCTACTCAAAACACGACACACCACAGTATATTTTGTGCATGCTGTTTTCCAATACTGTCTGTGGAATATACTTGTAGTATGGTTCATGAATGTCTACCAATTTGTGTTTCTTTGCAAGCTCTTGGTGTATTATATTTGCTACTTGATTATGTCTGTGTAAATAATCTGTCTGTGCCAAGAGCTTGCAACCAGATGTAATGTGTTGTACAGTTTCTGGCATGATTGACATTTTCTGCATGTGTCATTTGTGAGTGTTGTATCTTTGATTATGTGTTTTCTGTAGTTTTTAGTGTTTATGACCTGATCCTGTATGGCAATCATGAATCCTTCCTTCTCCCCAAAGAGGCATCCCAGATCTAACCATCTGTTTGACGCAGTTTTGTCAACAGAATCCTGGCCAGGTCGTAAGGATGCCTGCCATGGAGTGCCTTTTGAGCCCACGATTGCTTGATGGTGTCTATGCTTTTTATATGTTGTGTCATGTCTGTATGATGCGAGTGTAAGTTTAATGATATGTTATTTGAGTTCTGCTAGAGTTACTGCTTTATGTAATTGTGATGTTTCTTGTTTTTTTATAGAAAAACTCTCGCAATGACTGCATTTGTTTGTAGTGAAGGTTTACTATGTCAATCAGACCACGTCCGCCATCTTTACATGGAAAGGTTAATCTTTCTGTGGCGGATTTAGGATGATGTTGTTTATGCTTAGTAAGTGTTGTTCTTGTTTTCCTTTGGAGTTGCTCAAGATCTGTGCGAGTCCAATGTATAACTCCAAAAGAGTATGTGAGTACTGGGACGACATATGTATTTATTATTTTAACTGTGTTCTGAGAATAGCATTTAACCTACTTTGGTATTCTTTAATTAATCTTTGCTTTATTTGTGTATGTCCTGTTAGTTTGGCCTGTTGGAATCCTAAATATTTATATAACTTGCCCTCTACCATGGATTCAATAACATCTCCATTTCTAAGTGCAAAATCTTCTTTCTTCAGGATTCCTTTTTCTATGTGAAGTGTTTTGCATCTGTCTAAGCCAAATTCCATTTGTATGTCCTTGGTGCATGAATGTGTGATTTGTAGGAGTTGATGAAGTTGTTTTTGTGTGGATGCATAAAGTTTTATGTCGTCCATTTGCATAAGATGTGACAGTGTAAACAGTGTTGTTTTTTCATGTCTGATATTGTAGCCACATTGCGTGTTGATTAACATGTTGGATAATGGGTTCAGGGCTAGGCAAAACCAGAGAGGACTCAAGGAATCTCCTTAAAAAAATTCCTTGCCAATGAATATTTCGTTTGTTTGTATGGAAGTGTTACTAACCCTGAGATGTAGTGTTGTTCTCCAGTGCTGCATAGTGTTTTGGAAGAATGAAATGAGTGATGAATGTATTTTGTACATGTGTAGAATATGTAGCAGCCAACTGTGTGGAACACTGTCAGATGTGAAAGCAAAAACAATGAAGATCATTAAGTCTTTCAGAAAATGATCTTCAAAATTGTTTTGAACTTTGATGACATATCCAGCTGTGTGTCAACTCAGAAGGGAACTATTTATAAGAACATAATTGATTTTCTCAATTTGTTAAATAAAAAAAAAATAAAGGCAAAGTCTTTTTTTCCTGTGTAAGATCTTGCATATTCTAAACCTAATTATTTGAACTTTGTAATTTTATTTTGTTGTATATTATTTTATTATTTTCTTCCCTGTACAAAGAATGGAAAATCCTGTACTAATTTAAATAAGATAAAAGTACAGTGTCTTCAGAATAAACTATAATTTTTATTTTAATTATATTTTATACTGAAATTATTTGATCTTGGTTTGTAAGAGTTTTCAAACATTACCTTTATAAGAATTAAAGTCACAATAGCACTCTTCTCAATATAACAATTCTCATTAATATCAAACACAAACATCTCTGTCAGGAGCAAGAGTAAAACCTCCATGATGAATTAAGATCATCATCATAAATTGTTCCACAGCAAATATATTAAATGACTGATTTAAAATTCATTATGGAAATTAAAAGTCTTTCAATAGCTAATTCTTTATAATGAGATTTTTATATACTGAATGGCTAATTAAGTAGTAAATTCTGTTTACTATTAAACAAATATTGTTATAAATAGATTAACGAGATGAAACAATTATTGCCGATAGCTTAATCATTTATTCAATTGATTTAAACTTAAAAATTTAACTAATCATGCAAACAAATAAAATCCATCTAACTTTATTATGATCTGTTTATAAATATTTACAAACATCTATAAATAGAAATAATGATTAATTATTAAAAATTTAAAATATCCAAAAATGTAAATAAACATCTAAAACTATAAGAATAAATATCCAGAAACTATTTCCATTATTCATTTAAATAATAAATTTCAAAGTTAAAATAAATAATTATTATTTTTAATATTTAAAAATGTCAACAGATGGTGAATGTGTGTCAGAAAAAACTAAAATAAAAATTGGTAAAAGTTATTTCAACAACAAAAATTTCTTTTTATTTGATAAAATGGTCAATTATCTTAAGTGAATCTTATTTGAAAGACTTCATGTATCATTTATTTAAATGGAAATTAAAAAGTTAAGAATAAAATACAATAGTTTAGAGTTTTGAAAGCAGTTTTAAAAGTTATTGTAAGTAAGTACTGAAAAAGGAATCATTTTTATTTAATAAACATTAATTTAGTTATTAAATGTTAAATAATATAATCTTAAACTTTTTATAATATTTACCTTCACAGTAAAGTTGATTGTATTTTTTTTGGTTTGAGACAAAATTTATTCATATAATTTTCGGCTTATTCTATTTTCTGCAATCGTTTCTTTGAAACTCTTACTTTCAAATTTTTATTCTGAAAATAAAAATAATACTCTTATAAGTTAAGCTTACTTAGATACACTTACATTAGTCTAATGTGAATAATGAAGTCAACTGTCTAGTATAATTTATTCCAAGTTTATCTAACCTACAGACCTAACAATCTATTGCTTAAATTTTATAAGTCTCAAAAAGCTATAAAATTCAGCAAGGAAATTTTATATGAACAAATACTTAAGGCTTTTTTCAAAACTATCTTCATATTAAATTATTACAGAGAATCAAAATACATAAAAAGTGAAAAATTTATCTGTGTATATTAGTAGATAAGGTCAAACAGTTTTCCAATTGTTTGAACTTTGAATCAAATTTAGTTTCAATGGCTCTGAAATATTTCATAAAATGTTTTGATCATATCATGATCATTATTATTGTTGTAGTTATGCACATAAGATACTCAGTTGGAACAAATGTCAAGCATTACGCTGGACTAAAAGTTACATTGAAGCTCAGAGACAATGAGTGCTATCCCCAAAGTACCAAAACAAAAAGAAGAAAATATGAGTAAAAAGATAAAATTATACTTACAATACAACAACAAAAAACAAACCTAATAAAAAGCAACACAGTAATAACTAAAAATTACAAAAACAAAATGATTTTTACATAATCGACGAAATCTTTTAAAATCAAAGGCATAAATACATCTGAACAGATCATATCAATTATGCTGTTCAAGAATTATAAATCTGATTAAGAGAGAAAGTATCATTGAGATGTGCTTAGTATGGAAAAAAAAATTATAAATATGATTTAAGTTACATGTATGTATGATTGATTCATGAATCAGTGGAAAAAAAATAGAAATAACAAAAACCATTATATTTATAGTAAAATATCTGAAAATAATAATTTAGTCATTTTTAAAAATTCAGATTTAAAATGTATATAGCATTTGTTGGAGAATCGCTAATCAATAGTCTACATAATGTATCCAAATTGACTAAATCCTATCTCAGTTTCTCGAGAATACATTTTAGCACTATAGCTCAAATTGTTGAGAGCATTATCAACAATTGAAAGTTAGCAAAGAACAATGATCTGAGTATTAATTTAGATAATATGATTTTGCACTATCTCCATAACATATTTCTATGTACAGTAATACCTCGACTTACACTACCCTGACTTACGCGATTTTCAAATCTCGTCAATTTGTCTTTTGTTTCAGCACCATGCAAATCTTGATTACTCACTCCCCCCACACTATTGTTCAGCTTACATGTTTGGACGTGTCGTGCCTAATCGACACATAGCTACAATTTATTTTGCGTTATTTCTGTGTTTGTTATATCTACAGAGACTTGAGAGACTATATGGTGATTTCTTGTAACCGTGAACGAATCAAAAGACGAGATAAGATTAACGAGAACATTTATTAGCTTAAATACATCTGACTTGGATTTTACACAAATTGCAAAATTATACCCCGACTTACGCGAATTCGACTTCCACAGTTATCACTCAGTCCCACCTATCGCATAAGTTCGAGGTATTACTGTATTATCAATAACAATTTTGATACAATAACTTAAAGTTTCTATCAAATGTTACACCAAGATTGCAAACTGTATCTGAGTATCGGATTGACTGTTTGGAAATAAAAAGGGCTTGATATGTATGGTTTTCCAGAAAGCAATAAACTACAACAGTTTTTTTATATAGTAAAACATATCCAAAATGGAAACTGAATGAAACAGAAACCTGCTAAATGGAAGAAAAAACTTCAAAATGGAGCAATTTTCTATGTTAAATTTTATTATAAGATTACCTCTCTAATGTAGAAATGGAATAGGTTTTTGGGTACTTAAAAGGTAATTTAACATGAATAAAGCAGGAAAATTAAGATTTCAGATGCAACAGTTACCAAAAAGCATGAGAAACTATTCTGGAAACGAATTCAATTCTTTTCAGAGAAATGGTCCTGTGACAAGGGATGTATGGACACAGTCTTTGCTGAAATTAACCAAGGTAGAATTGAATATGTTTAAAAATAAAAAACATTCATGATTCGAATGAGTTTCCGAGAATCGAGTTCTTGAGAATGAGCAACAAATGTAATTCATTGAAAATAAAAACAATGCTAACCACTTTGTCTTGTACAAAGTAGTTAGTAACTATAGTCTGCACAGTGCACAGGGAAAAAGTAGATAGTCAGACTGAGCTGGAAGGATCTATGACAGGTGAAAGGGTTAAATTGTGATTTTTATATTATTATTCATATAAATACACTCCAAAGTATTACAGTCTGTACAGTGAAAGAGTAAACAGGAGTCAATGTGAACTGGAAGGGTTCATGTTGAAACAGATAAAAGAAGACATGGGAGTTAACACATGAATCACAGTAATAAAATATGTAAAAGAAAATAAAATGAAACTTTTATGATAAAGATTGTATAAAAATGTTTCAAAAACATAAAAAATAAAAAATGTTGAAAGAGATTGGATCCATAAGTCAACTTTCATGTCTCCTTCCATCCTTCCAGCTCAAGCTGACTCATGCCTACTCTTCCTATGTAACTATAGTCTGTGCAGTGAATGTAATGAACTGGATATAACTTTTTTTTTTTATCAGGTTACATTCAATGACTAACGAAATTCAAAAAGTATTCTGAAGTTTATTGGCTTAGTCATTGCCTACTATTTTCTTCATTCAGAACATAAATGTATAGGGAGTGTGTCAAATTTTTGCTTTACAGTTATTTTTTCCTTATACACTTTTGGAATGATAAACTTTCTTAATTATACAAATATGCCAAAATGTTGATGTTAAAAAATAAAAATAAAATTTTGACACAGTTTATAACTCATTATTATTCAGTATCAGTATTTTTTTTCAATTTTATTTAAATTTATTTAATAGTTTATGTACTGTTATTAATGGAATAAATAAATTATTTAAACAACTGTTTATAGTTTTAGTGTATAAGATTAGCAGAGGATTCTAATAATCATACAAAAAATATATTTTTGAATAATTCTCGGCTACAGTTACACCTCAGACAGTTAGGATCTTATCAGAGTGGTAGACTATACCCATAGGAGCAAAAAGTCAAAGGAACCATACCTCTACACACATTCCTTGGTGAGATACAGCTTCCCAAAATCTGCCTACTTCCAGATCATACACAATGAAGTGTCACATCACTCCACTAAGACTATTACATTTAACTATTTAGCCCACATGACTATGCCAGCTTTGAGTAGTCCAATTGACTGTTCATGGAGTACTAGATGTTATATAGTTTTTAGGAAAGTACAGGGCTTGCCCCCATGTGGGCACTGAGGTGCTGGCTGTCGCTTGCACCAAAGTCAACAAAGGTGAATGTACCGAATAAAGAAGCATGCAGTATATGGTTAAACAAAGTATTTATTTTCGCAGTTCTTAATGATTTCAATTCAATAACAACAAACATTAACACAGCTTCACCAAAAATTATTGGCAGACAAATGACAGAAATATCACAACACGTACAGGGAACAAAGCTTGGGTAATGACTTAATACTTAAAACTAAAGAAGAGGGAAGTCAGAAAGGAAAGATAATAAACAGCAAAATAAATAACAGAAAAGAATAAAATACCCGGAATGTATGAATGTTATACAACTTCAATGGGAGACCACGTGGAACTCACTTAGACTGATTTCTAGTCGTCGTCTTACTTTTTCTAGATTTGAGACTGTATCATCATTTCGATAAGTTCACTAATTCCTCTCAGGCTTGTTCTGTTTCACCGGTCTTGTTGATAATTGACAACACAAAGCACCATCTTCTCAGTCCTTACTTTATGAGGACCAGCCAAAAGCTGACCCATCACTCCAACATGGCCCTCAGGTAGTCTATCCCCTCTTTGTTCCATGTGGATCCACGAATCAACTCTCACCACCCAAGGGAATAGAATGGGTCACCAAACTACAACTGGATCAACCCGTAAGGTGGATCTGGCCCACCACCGCACTGTGCCACAAATGAGCTAAAATATATTTATTTATATGGAAATATAGATTGTAGATAAATTTACTATGTAAGAAAAATTAAAGTAAGTGTAAGTAAAAACACCAGAAGTGATCCAATCTGATTTTTGCATCTGACAGTAATATATATAATTTTTAAGAAAACCAGTGAAATAAAAATTTCAAATTTTTGTGACTTTGAATATCAGAGCACTTTTTGCGTAAGTACCTGCAATGAAGTTTCTAAGAAAAGTGATTACAAGCTGGCTGTAGCCATTGTGTTTGTGTATTGGTAAATAAATACATTGGTTGTCTATTTTTTGTGTATTAGTGTACTATATTGAACAAAATGGTTATGTGGCCCATGCTTGTCATTCTCTCAGTTATCTGGCTGTGAAAAAAGTTTGATGACCCCCTGGAATAGAGCAAGAATAAAGTTCTGGAATTAAGAAGGAACAAAAAACAAAGGAAATATGTTAAAACTATGACTATATAAAAATTATACAATAGTGTATGGCCATAAGCATACAACTACATACAGAGCATCAGTCAAGACGAACATCCACTTACCTTGATTGATGCAGAGAATGGAGAACAGGCATTATACCAGTTTACAGTAAAAACTGACCTTTGGAGGCAAATATCTTGAATAAGGTCACATGTACAGATATGGTTCTATTGAGTTTTTTTACTCATACAGGGGGGTTTATAACTCTGGGAGGTGACAAATCCCTCATTCAGAGTTCACATATTACCAATTCTCATATATTTATTAAACATTCTGTGATGCTTGTGCAAAGGTACATATACCAACAAAAAGGAAACACACAAAAATATGTAACAACAATATTTTTTAGTTTTGCACATGATGAACAAGGTTCTTTCAGATTCCATCCCCTCAGTCACAAAAAGTATAATGCAGCTTATGTTAATGGTAAAAACAAGAAAAGGACAAATGGTATGCGGATCATGACAAAATGTGCATGCAGATAATACTCAAAAGAAAAAAATATATAACTAACGCTTATGAACTATCTTAAAACTAGGGAAGAAAGGAAAGGAAGCGATAGCAGAGTCGATAGATATACTGGTCCTTGCGCTGCCAATAGCTCTAATGCTACTATTCTGGTTTAATAAATATTTCTATCACTTTGAGCGCTAAGATCACATGTTGTCCAAAATTTGGCTGGAACATAGGAAGAGTCAGCTGTAAACATTCAAAATTCTTTTAATATATGAAATTTTCTCGTTTTTAACTCAGCTATTTCTTTTGTCTTTTTTAAAGGACTGCTTATAAATACTATTTTAATCCGGTTTTGAATTTAATCCGGTTTTGAACATTATTTGTTTCTAATGTTGTTAATATTTCTATTTCTATGAACTGTCACTTTCACGATTTTAGACTTTAAATTGATTAGACTGTTTGTTTTTTGCTTACAATTTGTGTTCATTTTTAAATATTTTTAGGAGTTTTTGTTAAGGGCAAGAAAATAGTCAAAAAATTTATAGTTAAGCCTCTATATATGTTATTAATATGGAATGTCTTCGGGATTCCTGAGAACACTCTGAATCAGGAAGAAAAGTGAATGATGAGAATTATATAATCTAATTATGGAAACGTATAGAAATGTTAAACTGTGTGTTAAGATAGGATAGATTTAGTGTCACAAAAAAAGAGATTTAGGATGGCTTTGGAATTTATCAAGGTTAAGCCCATATCTTTTTTTATTTTTTAATATTAGGTAAATTATTATAGTTTGCAGTGAGAAAAGAGCTATGATATGTTATTCACAGTTTATATTGTGTTTATTAATGAGACAGAGAGAGATTAAAGTTGAGCAAAAAAAGTTAGGAACAGTTTAGAAAGGGGAATTAAAAGTCAGTATATTTAGTTCTTGGATTTCAAATGTAGACTGTTAGAGGAAAAAGAGGAAATTCCAACTATTTTGACAACATATTCAACATATTTACAGACACACAATAACTTAGAGATGATTAGATGATGATGAGTTAGAGGTTGACAAATGAAATAGGTAAATGTAGGATGGCAAGAGTTCAAACAATATTATTAGATATTGACAGTGATAGTAATTAGTGATGATGTGGAGACTAAAAGAAAGACATATTAGTGATATTTTAAACCTATATAAACAAAGGAAAGGTGTAGTAGGCCATCAATAAATCTTCATTCATATTCTACTTTTGATAGTGCAGAACACACTATTTTATATAAATTACCAAACTATGTAGAGCCAATGTGAATGTCATAAGAAATGTAATTTCTCATGTCAAAAATACAAAACTATTTCAAATATCCCAAATACTATTTCTTACTATACTAAATCAAGTAAAACTTTATATAGTGTTAAAGTTAATAAATTATTTTAAAAATAGTTTGTATTTGAATTAAATTTCTATGACTATTTAAATGTATCAGAGGATAAGCTATGGTTTTCCTAATTATATTGTCATACATATGTAATAAAACAAAACAGTAAAATGCAAATTTATTTACTTATTTTACCATGACCTTTCTATTAAATAGATATATTATACAAGAATATTATGTTAAAAACTTTCATTCACAATATGTAGCAATATAACAGTTTTTAACATTATAAAAGAGCTTCTTGTCTTGAAAATTGTTGAAACTAATATCACAAATACTATAGTAGAAATAGCAGACCTATCACAATGCTACTAGTAATATAAGTGTCATTTTTATGTTACCAGTAGCAGTGTGATAAGTCTCTGTTATCTCTACTATAGTATTTGAGATATTAGTTTTAACAGTTTTAAATATATATCTATTTAAAACCTGGATAAATTAAATTGAAAATATAACTATTTTTGATTTAGCCACATCCTCATCTGTAATTTAAAATTATTATTATTAATTTTTTTATTAAGCCAAATATACTTTTTCTTTCTTTATACATGATATAAAATTAGAAAATGTAATTACAAATAAGATTTTTTTGACAGAACAGTAAAAAAAAAAGTTACAAAAATGCTTGAAAACAGGAAAACCAAATAGATAAACGAAGTTCTTCTCGCCTACCGGTGACTCTCATGCCAGCTATCAGCAACCTGAGGCATTAACTGTACTTGAGAGAGCAGTGCAAGGACCACTATATCTATCAACTCTGGCATTAGGTATAGAGGAAGAATATTAGTAAAAGTTGGGTACCAGGGCTTCATAGTTCACAACATAGAGCCACAATTCAGAAGCTAATAAGAGTGCTTCTGTATCAAACACACACACACATATATATATTATAAAAGGCAAATAAATAATAAATTTAGTATTTGCCTTTTCAAACTATATGAACATAAACAAAACACACGACCGAGAAATATATTCTGTGTTAATGTATAAACACAAATTATTTTAATAATAATGATGATAAACTAAATCAAAACTAGATTTATGTATAAACAAGGGACTTGACGCTGTTATAAATTTAAATTCTTAAGACATAACGCACCTCTTTGCTTCTCAGAATAATATAATGGCCATTCGCTTCATAAATATAAAAATAAAAAGGCAATAAAAAAAGAAATAACGAATAACAGCGAATAAACATTTACGTACAGTATTTGAATTACAATTTACAAGCAGAAAACACACTCACCCGATTCAAATTTCAGTTTAAACGTGTTTTAGCCAATCACAATCGACACACAATTTAACGTTGCCAGTTTAAACTTAAAGTGTAGTTAATAAAATATAGCCCAAATCTAACTGAACGATTTTTATTAGAAGTTTTACAAATTTATATTACTAATGAATATAAAGTAATTAATATTGAATAATTCATACAGAGCATCAGTCAAGACGAACATCCACTTACCTTGATTGATGCAGAGAATGGAGAACAGGCATTATACCAGTTTACAGTAAAAACTGACCTTTGGAGGCAAATATCTTGAATAAGGTCACATGTACAGATATGGTTCTATTGAGTTTTTTTACTCATACAGGGGGGTTTATAACTCTGGGAGGTGACAAATCCCTCATTCAGAGTTCACATATTACCAATTCTCATATATTTATTAAACATTCTGTGATGCTTGTGCAAAGGTACATATACCAACAAAAAGGAAACACACAAAAATATGTAACAACAATATTTTTTAGTTTTGCACATGATGAACAAGGTTCTTTCAGATTCCATCCCCTCAGTCACAAAAAGTATAATGCAGCTTATGTTAATGGTAAAAACAAGAAAAGGACAAATGGTATGCGGATCATGACAAAATGTGCATGCAGATAATACTCAAAAGAAAAAAATATATAACTAACGCTTATGAACTATCTTAAAACTAGGGAAGAAAGGAAAGGAAGCGATAGCAGAGTCGATAGATATACTGGTCCTTGCGCTGCCAATAGCTCTAATGCTACTATTCTGGTTTAATAAATATTTCTATCACTTTGAGCGCTAAGATCACGTTGTCCAAAATTTGGCTGGAACATAGGAAGAGTCAGCTGTAAACATTCAAAATTCTTTTAATATATGAAATTTTCTCGTTTTTAACTCAGCTATTTCTTTTGTCTTTTTTAAAGGACTGCTTATAAATACTATTTTAATCNAGGGATCAAAGTGAAAACAATTTAATAAACTCAAAAAATTACTACATAAGTGTGAAAACGAAAACCCAAAATGCATTTCGGACTATTTTCCCTATAGAAAACAGTCCCTCATCAGTTGGTATTAGTTAAAGGTAATGCTATAATAGAATTATACAAGGTAACGGTCAACTTAAAAATAAGCCTAAAGTTATACAATATAAAAACTGAAGACACCACTGTAATGGTATGAGTAGTAAGCATCATCAGTAGGTATTATCTAAAGTAGGTGGTATATTAAAAATTATACAAAGTAAGGTAAACTTAAAAAACTATACAATACAAAGATGAAGATGCCAATATAACAGTATGAGCAGTAGGCAATATCATTGTAGACAGGTGTAATAAATCTTCATGACCTTGCATGGTGGAGTGACATACAGGGTGCTGATACAAAACAGTTATAAGTTAGACAATAATTAGTTAACATTAATGGACTAAAGTTATACAGACAGGTAATATACATACCAAAAAGGTAAGACGATAGAGTAGCAGGTGCCAGCTTACAACAAGGTGCTGGGAAGGTAGTGAGGGAGGTGTGTGTCAGTCCACATCTGGTGTACAAGTGGTGACAACATGTGATACAATTACAAGTTTCCAACGGTATTTTTTTTTTAACAGTACATGTGGACATTACATCACAAAGATATTTACTATTTTAAAAGATATAATTATACCATCCTTCGTCAATTTTAACAACTAAGTTATCATTAATTCTATTAACATTGTCAATTTTTAAAATCTCTATGTGCTCAAGATATTTACGTTTATAAGTGTTAGTTTCAAATTTTATTGCTTTTATTGTACTTTTATTAATTTCACAACCATATAGATTGCAGCGTTTGGCAACTGTTAATGGTCTTGATAACATTAAATTTGAAGTTGAGAACGAACTTCACAACAAATTACCATTCCTGGATGTTTTAGTTACTAGACATTCTAACACCCTTGAAATAGAATATTATAAAAAATCTTGTAACGTTAATAAAGTCATGGACTACCACTCATATATCCCCCTGTTCATAAAAAGAAACAATTTTGTCAATTTCATCAAAAAGATATCCAATAGAACTACCTCCGATTACAAAAAGAATCTTGAGATCATGGACATCGTTCAGACCTTCTTACTAAATAATTACCCAAAAGTACTTGTGGTCACCAGTTTGTGTGAAATTAATCATTGCAAACCAGGCCACATACAATAAAAGATTAACATTTATTGTATATATGAATTATGGCGCGACTGTACAGATTAAAACACGGAACGATACTACATGCGTCTGCAAGGTCCAAATCCAACAAGGAATGTGTGATGTCATAGGTTAGGTTTGTACAGTTCAGGGGTTTCCCCTTGTGGCAGCTTTGGAATTTACCGCCAAAGCTGTCGCCACAGTACTCCCCCCCAGTGCCGTAGGTACGAAGTTAAAGGTACTGGGGGTTGAACCTGACTCTTCTTCCAGAACGTGTCGTCGTCGTCGTCGTGTTGGTAGGCACGGAGTTATTAGGAGTGTTTATCCTTGGTCGCTCTGGGGAGTCTGGACATGTCCTGGACGAGTTTAACGATGTGCTGGCGTTCTCGCTGTCCAGAAATGCTGGCTTCAGACGATCGATGTTAACCTTTGTTGTTTTTCCGTTGACTAGGATCGTGAAGTGCTTGGGTGTCCACACGGTAACTGGGAAGGGTCCATCGTAAGGGGAGGTCAAAGAAGTTCTATGACCTTCTTTTCGCACAAACACGTGGGAGGTGTCGACTGCTGGATGGACGAAGTGTGAAGGTTTGACATGTGCAGATGTTGGAGTCGGCGTAAGCGACTGCATCGTGGACCATAAGTGATGGAGGAAGGATGATGGGTCTGCTGGCGGTTCCTGTGAAGGATGGAAGAACTCTGCCGGGAGACGAAGGGTTGTGCCGTACACCATCTCGGCACAAGTGCCATTGATGTCTTCTTTTAACGCTGATCGAAGGCCGAGTAGAACGATTGGGAGAGATTCCGTCCAGTGTTGTTCGTGGCATCTGAGAGCCTGTTTTAGCGAACGATGGAATCGTTCAACTAAACCATTGGCTGATGGATGGTATGATGTTGTACGTATGTGTTGGATGCCCAACATAGCTGTCAGTGAGGCGAACAGATGAGACTGGAATTGTCGGCCTTGATCGGTTGTGATGATGGAGGGAACACCGAATCTGGAGATCCAATGTGAGAAAAAGTGCGAGCGACTGTTTCAGCAGAAATGTCGTGGAGGGGAACAGCTTCCGGCCACCTCGTGAATCTATCTATGCAGGTGAGTAGACAGGTAGATCCATTTCAAGGCGGGAGTGGTCCTACGAGGTTGAGATGCACATGTGAAAACCGATTGGATGGGAGGTCGAATCTCTGAAGAGGGCTGTTGGTGTGCCGATTCACTTCGGACCGTTGGCAGTTAATGCAGGAACGGGTCCAATTGGCGATGTCTTTCTGCATCGAAGGCCACACGAAACGTTCTTGGACAAGACGCCTCGTTGCACGAATTCCTGGATGGGCCAGATTGTGCATGGAAGAGAAGATTCGACGGCGAAATTGGAGTGGTATATATGGGCGAACTTTGCTGTCCTTGGTGTCGCAATATATTTGTAGTGACGGACTGATTCGAAGTGGCTGTAGCGTGAGTGCTGTTTTATCATCCGTGAGGAGTGCGGTTAGCTCGTCGTCGTTTGCTCGAGCTTCCGCAATGGCGGTAAAGTCTGTCACGGGAAGTCGAATCTCGTTGATCCGAGAGAGAGTGTCTGCTACGATGTTGTTCGAGCCAGTGACGTGCCTGATGTTGGTGCTGAACTGCGCAATGTAATCGAGATGTCGCAGCTGACGTGGGGAGCAAGATTCTGGTTTTTGGCAAAAAGCGAAGGTGAGGGGGCAATGGTCCGTAAAGATGACAAAGTCTCGACTTTCGATGGTATGGCGGAAGTGCTTGATCGCGGAGTATATAGACAGCAGTTCCCTGTGGTAGGTGCTGTACTTTATTTCGGTAGGCGTTAGTTTCCGTGAAAAGAAGGCTAGTGGACGAGTTCCTTCGGCGGAATGGGTTTGGAGTACGGCGCCGACGGCGACATTAGATGCGTCTACCATTAGGGAGAGATTGTCATGTGACGAATAGTATGCCAGGGTCGTTGCATTTGAAAGATCTGCTTTACATTGGTTGAAGGACTTTAGAGCAGATTCGTCCCAGGAATGTGTTTATCATTTTTTTTGGAGTCCTTGAGAAATTCGAGCAGTGGGACCTGAGTTTGGGCTGCATTTGGCAAAAAACGTCTATAAAAATTGAGCATGGCTAAGAAACGACGGAGCTCAGCTACAGTTTTTGGTTGAGGAAAATCGTTGATGGCTTTGGTTTTTGATGGCAAAGGTTTTACTCCGGATGATGTAATCATGCAGCCGAAAAATGGAACTGCAGATCTTCCGAGGATGCATTTGGAAGAATTTAGTATTAGGCCGTGCTCTTGCAAGCGGAGGAACGTTTGGCGGAGATGGTCCGTGTGTTCGTCCGCATCTTTGGACGCGACCAATATATCGTCGAAATACGGGATGCAGAAGTCGAGGCCAAGTAGGTCTTGGTGGATGCATTGCTGGAAGGTTTGACCAGCGTTTCGTAGGCCGAAAGGCATATAGACGTATTCGAACAAACCAAACGGGGTTGTTATGGCTGTTTTTGGAATGTCCTCGGAGAAGACCTGTATTTGGTGATAGGCGCGGGTTAGATCCAGGGTGGAAAAAATAGTTTTGCCTTCTAGGAGTTGAGTACAGTCCTGTATATGAGGAACAGAGTAGCGGTCAGGGACGGATACAGCGTTGAGACGACGGTAGTCGCCGCACGGTCGCCACTGGCCATTTGCCTTCTTGACCTTGTGTAGTGGGCTGGCCCAGGGGCTTTTGGATGGTCTGATGATGCCTTGGGACATTAAGAACCGAAATTCTTCCTGTGCTGCTCGGAGCGTATGTGGTGGTAATCGTCTGGGTTTTGAGAAGACAGGTGGTCCTTTAGTCTCGATGTGATGAAAGGTGGTTGGCGTTTTCTTGGTTTCGGGGATTATCGACG